TAAGCAATGTGAACAATACAAAGCTAATCCACTAGACTAGACACAGTCTGAGGTGTCTAACAGAACTCGCCACTAAATCACAGATATACTGCATGATTAATATGAGCTATGATTATTACTATTTTTTTTTCAATGTTTTACTACAAATACACTCTCTTAATGCTTATGTAAATAGATATGTTCCTGGCTTCAATAAAATAATAAATCATATATTTGCTAACTAACTAACTAACTAACTAACTAAACAAATACATACATAAATAAAGCAGTAAATAAAGCAAACAATAAATTAAGCAATAAAACAAAATAAAATTAAAAATAATAAAATAAAATTACATTAAATAAAAAAATGAATTAAAATAAAATAAAAATGAAATAAAATAAAAAATAAAAAGATTAAATAAAATATAAAAATAAAATAAATAAATTAAAAAAAATTAAATAAAATAATAATAAAATATATATATATATATATATATATATATATATATATATATATATATATATATATATTTAAAAAATAAAATAAATAAAAAATAAAATAAAATTAAATAAAAATAAAATTAAAATTAAACAAATAAACAAATAAATAAAACAAATAAAATGGTGTTGAATCTAAATGTAATTTAGGTACATTTCTGTAGTAATTTGTAAGGAAAAATGTGTGCTGCTTTTATGTATGGAAGAAGGTTAATCTACAATAAAACAAATGTAAGACTTGATATGCAAGAGAGAAAAAATGTGTTTGCGTGTCTTATAAAAGCGTTATAATAATGAGAGTGTCACTTTGAAATGACTCTCACTCACTCCATTCCGGATGTCAAGGCATACCATATTCAGCTGAGATTTCTAAATATTAATGATTTATGCTTTATTTGCATACAAACCTAATGCCAAGCCACTTCAGATAATCATATTTTGCCCTGAATTAAATTTTCAGAGGGATTTTTGCTTCATCTATGCCCAGCCCCAAGGAATCGTATACAGAATGTGTTTCACTCAATTTTAGACAACAGACCCAAGCACAAAAAACCCCAAGATCAAATAAATCTGCCAGCATGATATTTTATATCTATTTGGGATTCAAACAAACAAACAAAAACATAAGCTTTAGTCTTTGTGACATTTTTATCTCTTTCAGTAAAATTCAAGATATGAATAATGTTGGTGAGGTGTGAACTGTGATGATCTGTAGTAATGCAGTAACCAAAATTGGCTCATTCTGAAAACATAGTCCTATATACATTTCTGGAGATCATAAATTATGTATCCAGAAGTACATATGGCTGCATCACGTCTTTAAAACAAACACAATAGGACGGTATGATGCCATTCCTTTTCAAGCTTATGAGCAGACCGATTACATCTGTACGGATGGCTTTCCCGCTGTTACCAGTTTGACCAGTTAGCTCGCCATGTATGTCAGTGGACTTGAAATGCAAAGAGAAATTAACCACGACTATAGGGTTCGAATGCGGTGAGAAATGGTTCCAGAAAGCGGGTAAGACAAAAATAGAAGCCAAAAAACAAAATCATCAAGTCAATAACAGGGTGAGAATGTGGTAAAATCTGAAAACTTGGTAAAAATCAGGCAAGGGCTTTTCTTTTTTTGAATTGCTTTTTAAAACTGTCGGTTAGGTTAAGGGAGACAAATTTAAGATCTCAAAAAGCATATACAGCGCCTTCTCTGGTGGATTTGTGAAAACAAAAACTGCAAAAACGTAGCTCCTGGGATGTATTTCATGATCTCCATAAATGTATATAGCGTTACATTTTTAGAATGAGCCTAGGTTGGCAGTAACATGTAATGTATACAAACATGCATACATACATACATACAATACAAAAACAAACTAAGTATCTGTTTCTATTAATTATTCTATTAATTACAATAGAATTATGTTTAGCTCTTCAGTAAAAAAAAAATATTTAAATAAATTTAAATAAGTTAAAACAAAATAGTTAATTTTATATGCATTTGAATTCAAGTCCAATATTTAAAACCTAAATATTTTGCCTTTTACTTAAGGATTGAACATATTTTGTTAGAAATCATACATTTCTAGAGAAGTGGTTCCTGTGGTCGTGATACAATAAGGGGGATCTCTTGGTGAATTCCAAAAATCAAATTCACTTTATTAAACTATTAGAATTACCATATTTTATCCATAACCTTCAGAAGAAAAAAAATAGCTAAAAATACATTTAAAAAAAAATAACATATAAGTAAAAAGCAATATAAATGCGTTTGTTAGTGACCCCTGGGGCGATTATGTTATATTAAAGACACAGCACATTGATTTTATAGCATCAGGTTAAACTTTCAGACACCTTTACGGCCCTCACGTACATCAAAATTAAATTAAAATATGGAGGATGGTCTTCGAGTGGCGTTCTCCAAAATTAAACAATGAATAGACTTGGGACTATTGGTATGTGTGCACCATTGTGTGCCAGGTTTATATATTTATAACCACCTCAGCGGGTATTGGGGGTCGCAAGTCACTGGCATTGTTATTTCGGGGATCACCAGATGAAAAATTTGAAGTAGAATACTTTCATCAGGGGGCCAAATCTCTTACTCTCTATTATAAACACACATAAACACATACACAGGTTCAGCAGTAATACTAGCACATTCCTTCCAGAAAAGGATGAATAAACTGTCTGTTGAGTTGTGCACATGGTCATTCAATGCTTTTACTGTACTGTATGTACTACTCAAACATGCCCACACACTGTCTAGGCGTATACAGAAGCGCTCGGCTGCCCATCAGCATCAACCAGCAACAAACTGATGGAGTCATGCTTTAAAAATGCCAAACAAAAAACTTTTGTTCTCCAGACAAAGCCTTATCTCTAAAGGTCAGTCCCTTTTCACAGCAGCAGGAGAGGAGGACGTCACAAGGGCACTTTTCAAATGTCTTTGATTAAAGAAGGATATTACAATACGGTACATTCACTGCGATGACAAAATACTAGCATTCATTTTCAGCCAAGTGAATGACCTCCTCTAAATATTAAAAATGCAACAGGTTCCTCCATGACAGACAGATTTTTCCATAATTGAAAGGTCAAAAGCACCATTAATTGTTAATGTAAACCATTTTGCGGAACACGTGACAATCTTCAGACTTCACACTTCTCTTTTTGATATATTTGTCTCATGTTTGAAAGTTTGAGTAAAAACGATCTTGGTCTGCCTTCATTTTGTTACTTCCAAATATCACAGTGGCGAGATTCCTTGATACGGCTATACAAATATTTGTTCATCTCTTTAACTTTTTGTTTTTCCAAGGTTATTACCGAGTGACTAGAGATTTTGCCTGCTTTTTTTGCACACACAACTGACTCACATTATCGACTAGTTCAGCTGACGTGAGTGTTAGCGGATGACTCACTTGTGGTAAACATTATGATGGAATAGAGATCCAAATGTCTAATCAAAGAAAACAATAATAATTCATAAACAGCATAATAATAATAATAATAATAATAATAATAATAATAATAATAATAGCAATAAAAATAATAATAATAAAATAATAAAATAATAAAAATAGCAATAATAATAATAATAATAATTATTATTATTATTATTATTATTATTATTGCTATTTTATTATTTATTTATTATTATTTTTATTATTATTTTATTATTATTATTATTGCTATTATTATTATTATTATTATTATTATTATTATACACCCGATTTAATATATTATATTATATTTGTTAAATACAAATTAATAGTATTTAACATTTAACAATATTTTACTGACATCTGTACTGACTGTGTATTACCCAAATCAGCGTTGATGAATTTGTGGTTACTAATCAAGCACAACAAAAATGAACTGTCTTGAATGAACAGTTTGATTGTTCCAAATTAAATAAAGTAAGTATTATGATTTGCGACAACAAAGCAGCTTAATAAAATGCCTGTAAAATACTTGCAATAGTTTAATCCTACACCTATTTGCAGTAAGACTTTTACTGAGAGCAAAAAAAAAGAAAATCTGCCTTCCTCCTCTATGTTTGCTCAAGTAAGAACACCGATGTAAAGCATCAAACTAAGAACGTCTATCTTACCTCTCGCATAGACAATTAGTTGTCTTTTTAACTAATAATATATTAGGAGGAACATGAAAATGGATGATAGGTGTGTTTAAGTATATCAGACTTTTTTTTTTTTCTTTCAGCAAATGTAATTTCTCAGCTGTAAGAAATACTCTTACAAAAGGACATCTAAAGGCTGTGGCACTCACTTACTTTCTACTACAGCCAGCCAAACCAAACTACAAATTCAATTCCTGGAGATTTACTCTCTTTCTTTTTTCATTCACAGTTACTTTCTTTTTCTTTTTATCACCAAATTTTCTGAAAGGGCAGTGTGAAACACAGAAGTCTCAAGGAGCACCAGTAACCTTAGCAGAATCATGAAAGCTGACAGATCATTTTTCACAAGGCCATAGATCCCAGACTCTTATAAAGTAATGGGCTTTTGGGAGAGGCCTTTATGAAAGCTAAGATAGTTAAGTTCTGTGTGCTAGAGATGACACAGGGACCATCAGCTCCTGGTCTGTTTCAAAGCAGGCGCCCTTATTCCCAGAAAGAGGCTGGAAAGAGAGGGTGGGACTGGAGCTCTTGTAAAATGACAATATAATAAAGATTAATATGTTACTTTGTCTTCCTGATGGTCTCTAAACTTGCTTGAAATAAGGTTGAAATGGCTCAAAAGCAAATCTTGCCCCTTTAGAGAGTTTCTGTATTAGTGCGCTTCTGACCAATGAGGGTGACAGTGAGCAAATGTCTCCATGTGTAATTGGTTCACAAATAAGAAATAGCAGATTGTGCAGTGAGGATGTGCGACTCATAATGCAGTGTATATCATGTGTTTACTTGCTAGGGAGTGTGTATGTATAAGAGTGAGTCATTTTGAACGGCATTGGTTATTGATTTATGATACAAAAACAGGGGTTTATGTTGTCATACTCACCAGAGGGGTCGTTTCTTTTCATGTTGCTGGTGCCACCGCTTCCTCCGTTGGAGCTTCCACCAAGACCTCCGTTGAAGGCTGCGAGGTTCTCTGAACTGTAGGCCCGCAGGACAGATAGCATGTTCATCTGGTGATCGAGGTGGGGTTGATCAGGCTTAACCAGGCCAGGGGGACCACCGCTTGAAGATAGAAGACCCAGGCCTGCTTGCTGCTGCCACTGCTTCTCAGGGGTGGGAGCTTGAGGAGGAGAAAGCCCTGAGCTTTGAGGGCCTACAGTTAGCTTGCATCTTTGGATGTCCTTTCCTGACAATGGAGATTCAGGAAGCATTTGCATGGATCTACGATCCTCCTCCTCAGCATCACCCATCTCCATCTCCTCTTCTTCATCTGCTTCCTCTTCGTCATCTGAATGCATGTGTCTCTCTGTCGCAGTGGGGTTGGGTAAGGATTTGTCACGACTCACTTCATCCTCCTCAGACTGGCCACCGTGTTCCTCAGATGCCTCTATCTCACTGCAGGAAGCCTTGTCGGATAGGTCATCCAAAGGGCCCTGACCACCCATGTCGTTAGGCTGAATTTGCTGCTGGTCCAGAAATCCAACAGGCCCTCTAGCAGAGCCATCATACACAGGACCAAAGGGCTTGTAGAAGTCACTGGAGAATGCTCCCATGGAGGCTCCGTGCGGGGGCTGATCCAGATGGTTGGACCAGCCTGCTTGTCCCTTTGGATCCCCAGACTCAGTCTCTCTGTCCCTGGACGGGGCTCCCTCATGGTGATGAAGAAGGCCTGGTGGTGGAGGAGCCAAGCCAGTAGCTTTGCCCACATGGGAAGGCTCTCCCATGAGGTGCTCCTTAGTATCTTTGCCTGGGCCACATTTGCTTTTACCCAGGTGGTTGGCTTGCAGGTGGAGGGCCATCAACTCTACAGAGGCAGTTGTGAAGGAGCAGAAGAGGCAACCATGCCAGGCGACATTATCCTGGATGGTGATAGAGGTTCCAGGAAGGGACCCCGCTTCAGGCCTAACAGACAAATCCAGGGGCTCATACTGTGAACGGCCACCCTCAGCTGGTTTAATGTCACTGGTGGGATTTTCTTCCTGGTTGGCCTCGCTGGATCTTTTGGTCTTGATCTCTGCATTCTCCTGGCTAAAGTGCTGACCGTGCAGCTGACTCTCTCTCATTTCCTTCTCCTTCTTCATAGAGCTGAGCACAAAGCTGTCCATGAAGGCCTGAAGGGAGCCCTGGAAGTTGACTCCATTTCCCACCATACTCTGGTAGGCCCGACCGAGGTCAGAGAAGCTAGCAGGACTGTCCGCTGCAGAACCAGGTCCCTCGGGACTCTTCATGTTCTCCGTGGTGGGCTCTGGCCCCGGTCCATGGCGCTCCCTTTCACGATCTCTGTCTCTAGGTGAGAGCATTCCTGGTGGAGCCCACTGGTGTGGAAGCATTTGACCTCCTCTGAAGTCAAGACCAGAGGGCATCATGCCTTTGAAGACCCCGCGAAGGACATCAGGACGAGCAAAAACCCCTGTCCCACCGCTGTTCTTGTTGTGGTCATCCTTGTGTTCAGATGATGGAGGATGGTTGGCCGAGGGCCCACTTCCGTTCTGCCGCTCACGGTGATGGCGCTCCAGGTGGTACTTCAGGGAAGCTGATTGAGTGCCTGCATAGTCACAGTGAGGGCACCTGTAGGGCTTTTCACCTAGAGTGAGAGTGATAGAAAGAAACAAAGACAGACAGGAGCTGATGTCAGTACAAAGGTAATAATATAGGTGCCAACAAGCTCAGCAGGAACTCTGGGCTCGTTCCACCTGTCAGAAGAAGAGCAGAAAGAAAAATAACATGTAAATATTTGACAGGAATCATGTCAAGGATTACGTCAAGACTCTTTAAATCTCACATTCTGCAGCATTCGACCACATTCATCACTTAGCAAACAGTCCATCAGCCTTTTTGAGAGGAGGGAGGAGTTTCAATACGGGTCGATCCAGCTCAATCCAGATCCTAGGAGTGAGCCATCACTCACGTCAGTGCCATAAAAAACATAACACCATATGGTGCCTTCAGTCCACTACAGAGATCATATTTTCAACTGACAACAAAACTGTCTGGATGTTATCTCTGTTCACATGGGGAACTGCAGGCTTGTGGTGCTGCTGGTTTCTGCTGTCTTTCTCTCTCTCTCTCTCACTTTCTGTCTCTCCCCTGGCCTTGTCTGCTGTCAAGCCTCTACCTTGGTGGTGGAGTTGTTCTGTGGACATTCTCTATTTGCAGTTTATCATTGTGAGGATAAATCAAGCCCCACAGTAGCTCTCTATTCCCCCTGGAGGACAACTGTGACCCCTCAGTCCAAAATGCACCCAATAAAAGTCCCTCATTTGAGAGCGAAGATAGTCTAAATGATATAAACACACCATATGTGGTGCACATGAGCATTCCTCACAAGGCAGCCTCACACTGCGGATTACAAAATGCTAACCAGCATGAAATGTACTGTAAAAGTAGGCATGCAGGCAGTTTAGAAACACATGCAAATGTACAAGAATTCTTGTTAAAAGCAAAAAGAGAGCAGCTTTTAACAAGAGAAAGGGGCTAAATTGCATTTGCATGATCTAATCAATATCGATATAAAATACATTCTGACAACAATTAGAATAGGCTCGGAATGAAAGCTAGATTTATAAGATCAATAAGCAATAAACTAAATGCAAGGCTTGATTTTTGAGTCCCTGTAATGTTTCAGGAATGAAATGATGTCGTGCGAGGTGGGAAAAAAAAAAGACAGTGAGGGAGGGTGTTTCGAGAGATATGGGAAAATGAAAATAAAAGCATGTTTGTCAATGTGTGTGTGTGCGCGGCTATAAACGCTTAGATTATACACATGGAAAACATTTTTTAACCCAGAAAAAATGTTGCATTGTTACGCAAGACTGAATTGAATGATTTAAGTCTGGCTCTGTAGTAAATCATGGATATAATTAGCAAATGGCATAGTGCTCAAGTAATTTATCATTATTTGGAGGGCGCCATTCCAGAAAAAGAATGGAAGATCTGCAGACCCACTGCACAGCTTCCTAAATAAAGGATTGCAAACACAAACTCAATACTATATTGATAAGGAACAAACATACGGAGGGACATATAGTGAAGGGCAATTGAGAGGGTGAGAGAAAGGGAATATAAAAAAGGGATAGGGAGCCGTCTTTTGTTCTTTTACACAAGAGTGTTTGAAGCGCATATTCAAAAGACATCATACAAGATGAGCTTTTAACCCAATAACTGCTTATCCTCTGAGCAGGATAACAGAGGCTTGGTGTGATTCAATAAGGAAACGTCCTTGATGCAAATGATCATTTTCAGTTCCTTTAACTGGAAGGAATGATATTCTGTACCCAAAATTAGAGTACAATTAGAGTGATCTGCTTTTCTCCACCCCATCTTGTGTGCCTGATTATGAAAATACTGATAACGTCTTAATTTATTTGTAATAAAAAAAGCATATTAAGACATATGTTGTGGTAATGTATTACGAATTTTTAGTAAAAACTAAAATTCATACCAATCAGGCCTATGTTTTGCTATTTCTAAACATATCGCTGGTTGTGAGGGTGTGTTGAAGTGCCTGTGCAAGTCTCTGTGCGTGTGGCATGTTCTTTGTGCACCATTTGGGCTCAGTAAGACATCTGCTCCATCATACGTCAGGGGCACGTGTGACATCTGGGGAATATACTGTATCCTGCCTTGCAACATTACACACAATTTACTGCTAAAGGTCATTATGTACCCGTTAATCCACTTTTAATTGATATCCACACAAACAACACAACCTCAGGGAAACAAAATGGATCGCCAAGGCAGAGAGGTAAAGAGATTATTATTTTTTCATCTTTTGCAATGAGAGTCTGCAAAACTAAAAAGAAAAAAGTTTCCAAAGCTCACTCTTACGCCTGATGGACTGCGTTAATAAAAATAGGGAGGAAAAAATACATATCAAATTGCCATCTGCTATAGTGTGACAGGCTTTATATAAATTGCAGAGACCTCTCACTGTGAGTAGTACATATCCATTATCATTTTGCAAGTTCACTTCAAACAGAGCGCTTTCAGACTTAACACTTGAAGAAGTCCAGCGCAAACTGATTTCATATGGATTTGTGTGATTTGTCATGACTCCATAGTAACGGTTCAGAGTAAACACTTGCAGCCTTTACAGAAGTGCAATTAAAACAGTTAATAGATATGACACACTTTAAGATGAATTTCCATATGGCTTTACAGAAGGGTAAAAAGACAGCCTGCATTCCACAGGGGGATAAAGAGAGAGAGAGATTGACTGCACTGGAAAAATAGATGTCTTTTTTTTCCGCCCCATAATCTACGCCAAATGTAGAAACAAGAATGTCAAGGTGTTCGAGTTCTCAAGCCCTCCACATCATACCCACAACTTCTATTTACATTTGAAATTACCCTTTACTGTATGCCCCATTACTTCAATCCTTCCATTCATCTTAAAGACTTTTAGATAACTAACTCGCCATGTTCTTAGCAAATACGCATTACGAAAGGGAACGAAAACAAAACCAAAAAGAACGAGAACAAAACCACTAACCATGCAGCAGGAAAGGACTCGCTAGTAATACCTTGAAATTTCCTACCGGGAGTCTGCCGAGTGACCTTTGTAATTTACAATGCTTATGGTTTGGAACAGTAGCAACTGACCACAGACCTGAGTTTAATGGCTCCCCCTCTCTCTCTCTTCAAAGCAAACCTTTAAAACGTTGTTCGATGCAACCATAAAGCTCCATCCAGCCGTGCAAGCCAACTCTCCTCGGTTCAGTCCAAGTCTCGATCAAGATGCGTAATGGCTCCCGATCACCAAGGTGAACCGGCACGGCCGATGCCTGTCTGTCCTCTGTCTCCCTTCAAACAAAGGTGATTCGTCTGGCATCTTGCTTCTCCCATAGCCTCAAGTTATGCGTAGCCATTGTCAGGAGCAAGGACCTTTTTATTTTTTATCTACAGCTGCTTACTGCTAAATACTGCCTTGTCCAGAAGGGGACAATCTGTGTCTCTAATTGCTGTCACTGAAGCCTAGATTCATTATGTGACTTTCCCATTAAAATGTGAGCATTAATTTGTATAATGAAATATCACCCACTGCAGTGTTCATTAGCTGTGGCCCCACACTATACGCTGCACAATGTTAGCTACCTAGAAAACTGTGCTTAATTTCACTAATGGATATTTTCCCGCTCACTGTTGGAGAGGAAATTAATACTGTAACATTAGCTCTTTAACTTTTGGAGAAATTTAAATTCACTTCATTCCTTTCAAGCCGACGTTAGAGAGTCATTAATCTAACATTGTGTCGCACAATGCCCTGGCCTCCTCAGTAAGCAACGCCATTGTGATGGGATAACGGCGTCGGGATTGAGGCCCGCTTTGTGTCATCCGCATGTCTGATTGCTTTAAATCAGGGCAGGATATTTGTTTAATGTCATCGGCATAGTTTCAGCCTGATTGGAAGGGCCTGTTGTTCCAGTAAATTATTCGAGCAGAGCTCGAGCGAGACCTGCGCCATATCTCTGATTCCTGTCAGCCGGGAATCTTTATGACAAACCTATAACCGATCAGCAAAGAGTCACACATCTTGCAAGTACATCAGGGTCCGCGTAAATTGCTGCATCGACAGAAAGAGAAGCGTCCGCCTGTAAGCGCTCTCTGGCCGCACCGCACACACGTGGCCCGTCCCGGCGAGCAGAAAGAGAGAGAGTGAGTGAGTTAACGGAGGCTTGGGACGAGGGCCTCTGTTTCCTCTCGGCTGAAATACGGCTCTACTGGGGACCCTTACCCCCTGCTCCGAGCAGGCATAACTCAACCTCCCTCAGCTAGAAACATATTTCCCCACTCCATCCGCTGCTCTCCTGCTAGGACGATACAGCCAGCCTGTCCAAAGCCTTAACCCCTCTGTTTAAAGAAAACTTAAACACTTCACTGCGACAGCCTGTCATTGCCTAAATGTTTAACACTCTCATTTGTGCAGTTTTTAAGTTGTACGTTGCATTCCATTTCATATAATTCTTGCTGCAAGTCATTTCAGGGGAAATTGCTCTTTATAACTGCCTCGCAGTCCATATTAGATAATAACAAATGCAGATGACAGCGTTCTGCAGACTTCATATGAATGCCGTACTGAAAATTAATACTATTTCCTGTGCTTGTTACAACAGAAGGTGAAGATACTGCAGGCTGAGAGAGTTACACATCAGCTCTGTTGTTAAGCATGCCTTATAATCAAGCTTAATGCTCCAGAATAGCGCAGCTATGTGCTTCTTATTAAGTGGGACAAATACCATCTGGGTGGTCTGCTCTCTTCCTTGTATGCACATACCAAAAAAGTAACAACCATCGATTCCCTGAGCTGCGAGTGATTTCCATTTACAGTTAAGTAAAGAAGCGCGGATTGACCTCACATTATTTGCTGAATTTATAAAGCTGCTTCTTTCTTTTTTTCTTCTTCCTATTTTTATAGCTGTCCTTTTTATGATTAAAGCTTCACTGTGAACATGCGCAGGTGTTCCAGATCTCACCCATAAAATGACGCTCATTGGTCTAGTATAAGTACTGGTGTATGTAGATATAAACAGTGTTCTTCAAAATTTGCTTGTGAGAAATGGTCTGTGTGTTAGTAATTGTGATTTTGACTTCTGTGGAGGTTTCATTGTTATACCATTAGATGGGGCAAGAGGCTGTCTGTATGAGTGAGTCAGTGGAAATATCAATGACCTGACAGGGAGGAAAATATAGAAGAACATAAAACAAGCATTTTTTTTAAAACTTTCAACAACACCTTGTAAGATTTAGCCATCGAATGCATTGATCAGCACTGTCATGGGGAAGTTCCACCTCTCTCTCTATTTTTCTATTTTTCTCTCTATTTTTCAATCCTATAAATATTACAATTTCTTCTTCTTCTTCTTCTTCTTCTTCTTCTTCTTATTATTATTATTATTATTATTATTATTATTATTATTATTATTATTATCATTATTATTATTATTGTTATTTAAAATAGTGCAGGCCCTCTCTGAGCACCTAGATGGCTCTGAAGGCTCCCATCTGCTTTGCAAATACGTCAGCTTATTATAGTCTATTACTATTAATGAGAGTTTTGTTACAGGTATAATTAAGTTTCTTGTGGTCAAAAGAATATTTTATTTATTATTATTATTGTTTTATTTTATTTTATTTTAATTTATTTAAATGTGTTTTATTTTATTGTATTAATAGTAGTAGCACAAAGTTTAGTATTAGTATTAATATATTTGATTGATCTACACTCAAAAAAAATTAACAAAGATTTTTGCCACTTATTTAAACTATTTTTTCTAGTTAAAATGAGCTGAAACAACAAAATTCTGGAGATTTTTTTTGGGAAACTTAATTTTTTATGTTCAATATATTAAAATGTGCTATGTTAACTTAATTGATTTGTGTGGAACACTGCATTTTTTACACTGTACAAAATAACTACAATGTTATTATTATTATTATTATTACAAATAATAATAATAATAATAATAATAATAATAATATTACACATAAAAACTATCGCTTAAATGTTTACACGTACACTGTTCCCCATAAACAGAGCCAGCAGTGTGCTGAATCTAAGGTGACCTCAGAGTGCTTATCCTGGTTATCCTGCATGTTAACTAGGCCAGCTGTGCCTGCTAGTGAGCCTCAGCCTTGCTCTTGGGTGGAACAGGAGGGTCTCCTGACAGCCACTGGACCAGCACTGCTCACATCATTACTCTGCTGGGCCGCTGTTCTCCCTCACATACCTGCGGTTCATTTATGGGCTCAGAGATTTTCAGTCCTACTAAAGTGGGCTTTTTTAAAATGTGCATCATTAATGCTGGGAATAACTCTAAATAGGTTGTATACTTGTATGTACTTCACTATCTGCATGTGGACTTTATGTACTGTATGTGTCAAAATATCTTCTTCATGAACTTCTCTCTCACATCTCACCTATGCGTTTTTCCAATACTAATGAATAAAGCAAAATACATCCAACTCAGAATAATCAAACATTCTAATTTCATTTTCAAACCAGTTATTCTAAAATAACAAGTCTGAACTGAAATGAATTGAAATTAGTTAATACATATACATAAAGGGTAAACTTCAAGGCCTGAATCCACTTTTGTTATTTTAATGATGGAAAATTAGGGTTTGCGTGGTCTAACAGAGTTGTGCTTATTCTCTTAATGAGTTATGAATGTGTTTCGAGCATAACGTGCATTAAACCAATCAGAGTCTCATCTCACATTGCCTTTAAGAGTCAGTTGCTTCGAGCCATGACACATTCGCTATTTACATGGTGGACTTTGTAAAAAATAACTGACTTTGGAAAAACTGAACGCTTCACAAGCAAGAAAACAGTTAAACAGACCATCTGCAGTGTGATGATAAAGAACGAGCCTCCTTAATTCGGATTCTTTACTTTCCTATTACTTTACTTTTACTCTTTACTCCTTTACTTTTGTGGAGTAAGGAAACGGTATTGAACGCTCTCCACTGAAGACATCCATCAGCCTACATAATTAATTTCATTTGTTAAGCGCAAAGATTTGTTTCAAAACATTTTTTTCTAAATTCAGTTCTGATTTCCAGCAAACTAATAAATTAACAATAAAAAGTTATATCTAAGCACACATCCTATTTTTATGCCCATATAGTGACGCATACGTCTCCAAAAACCAGCAGATGGAATTCAAACTTATTTTTAATAAAACAAATATAAATATGCATATAGTAAACAATACTGCTTATAATAGTAACATTAAACATAAGCAAATTGTCATGAATAAACTGAAAAAAAAGCCGCTGACGTGAAGAAGACATGGAGGCAGTGGTTTTTATATTTATGTAGTAGCTAATAATTTTTATAACATTTTAATCCTTTTTTTTTTTCATTTGTAAAGATATTTGTGTACATCCTGTATGTATTAAGACATATGTAAGCGTTTGGACTTGCATAGGTGCATAACTAAGGCGCTCTGTGCTGGACTTTAGACCAGTTTTCTGTTGGTCAATGGGGCGGTCTATTTCAGTGCTTCAAAATAACAACGTGCCAACAATGTGCCTTATAGACTAAAACACTCACGAGTCCATAAAGTGACGCAATTGGAATTGGTATTTAAACAATGTGGCGCAAAAAGTGAAAATTAGGGTTGCGCTGGTCTAAAAAAAGCAGCAAATCACGCCAAAAATTGTCTTGCGCCTTATTGCGTCGGGTGTATGATAGGGCCCCAAAAATGATTGGTTGTTTCAACCTATAGTTGGATGAAATGTGGAAAACAAAAATAAAATTGGTCCTTTCTTTCTTTCTTTCTTTCTTTCTTTCTTTCTTTCTTTCTTTCTTTCTTTCTTTCTTTCTTTCTTTCGTTCTTTCTTTCTTTCTTTCTTTCTTTCTTTTTCTGTCTTTCTTTCTTTCTTTCTTAATAGTCTAGAAACAGAAAGATAATACATTTAAATTCAAACAAAATATTAAATATTTTTTGTTTCTCTTAATTTTTTCTTCTTTATAATTGTATATATATTTTTTCTTATTTTGAAGAAATAACTTAAACATAACTAAAATGATTTAAAATACATGCATTACATATGTAACCATTACAAAACACATTGATGATTTTGTTTGATTTGATTAGATTTAAAGGTGTGTAAAATGCATTGGGTTTGCCTTCACAGACTTCTCTCTCACCTGTGTGTATTCTTAAGTGGACCTTCAGATGGTGTGAGGTGCGGAAAGATTTGCCACAGTAGGGGCAGTCCTTCATGCTTGAACCCACACTCCTGTCCCGGTGCTGAGTAGTGGGGGGCTGGACAGCACTCACAGGTTTCGCCATCTCATCACCGACATCTGAGAAAAAACATAGAAACATAATTCACAGACTGTTCTTTCTCACTTCAAACCAGACGCACACTAGAGACTTCTGTTTCTTCTGTTGTTCTCCATGCTTTCAGCGTTTGCCACCCAAATCTGCTAACGCCACACAAAGTCAAACACATCAATAAGTTCATGTGCACCCCGTCCCCCCCCCACTCCGCAACCTGACAGAACGCTGACAGTTCAGAAGCTTTCTTTAGAGATATCACCCCGACCCCCGCCCAAGTACACTCACGTCCCAACGTTTTATCCAGCCTCTCATCATCTGTAGTGGGAAGCATATGGCAGATTGTGTTGAAATGAACAATACAAGGGGGGAAAAAAAGGAGAAAACAGCCATGTCAGCAACAGGGTCTTCGCTTTTGCGTGGCGCCCTGGTTTTGACAGGTGACGTCGGCTGGGAGCTTGATGGGAAACGGTGATAACGAAGGGCCGCTCTGATTGAGCAATTGTCACACCAATAATGTCTAAGAGTGTCAACAAGTCCACACTTGGAGATAATTAGTCACTGTGCTTATATGTGAGATGTCAGCAGTGTTACACCATGGTGAGTTACAGGGGGATCTCGTATTGTGTGAAGCGGTTGACACTCCAGCGAAGTTAAAAGGATACAAGACCAGGTCAGGTCCTCTGAGAAGTTACAGTTGCCTCCTATATATTTATTTTTGTATTTAATTGCAATGAATTTACATTGAAAAAGTTTTAATTTAAACTATTAAACTATTAATTAAATGAATAAATAAATAATCAAAAAATAAATTAAATTAAATAAATGAATAAATGAATGAATGAGAATATATATATATATATATATATATATATATATATATATATATATATATATATATATATATATATATATATGACAATAATCTCATACTAATATTATAAAAGTTTTATTAAAATTATTTAAAAAAACAAGGTCAATTTAGAAGTTACAGTTGTCTCCTAGAGATTTGACAACTTCTATTTTTTATTGAATTTTAATTCATTTAAATTAAAAAGTTTATTTTATTTTATAAACATTTCATATAAACAATTAAATAAATAAATAAATAAATAAATAAATAAATAAATAAATAAATAAATACATTGAGAAAAAAGAATACCATATTTTGTTATAACCATTGTACATGTTTAGTTTATAAAAATATTGAGTTGTAGTTCAAGTAATTTCTACTCAAAGAATAAAATAAATAAATAAATGTATTGTAAACACATAAATAAAAATGTATTCAAACAAAATAAACTCACCCCATCCACACACTTTCTGTCCCTAAGTGTGTATTTTTTATGCTCTCATTTGAATTTGCACCTTTACTTCAGCTCAACAAGGTCTGTAAGCCCATAACCAGCCACAGCTCGGAAAAAAAATAAATAATAAAAAATAAAAAAACGTTTGCAAATGCTTTCTTATTTCTGCGCCTACACATGATACGGTGTGTGTGTAGGGAGAGACGTCGCCTGAATGGCGCAACCCACTTTAGCAACCATTTGCCTCAATCAAAAGCTTTTGTACAAGTAATCTTTCTTTCTTTCCGTGCTTTTTTTTCCCTCCTCATTTCTCTACCCTCTTTTAAGAATCAAATGAGATTTGAGAAGTTAAAAAAGAAAGAGTGAAGTCAGCATCTCCTTCTCTCTTGTGACTGATCACATTCCTGCAATTTGCTGCCTCCGTTTTGCCTACACGCGTTACATTGTGATGTCTGCCCCCATTTTCTGACCCAAACATATACTCACAACCAAACAAACACAAACACCGACTCTGACCCACTTTACCCTGATAACCAGACAATTACAAATATTACTCCTATTGCCAAATTTTCACAGGCTTTTAGAAAGAAGTGGATGCTGTTGTACCACAGCTGCATTTGAATACACATGCTACACTTACAGGCCACTTTATTAGGTACAACTGTTTGACTGCTTATCAATGGAAATACCTCATCAACTAATCATAAAGCAGCAACTCAATGTATACAGGAATGTAGACATGGACAAGACAAACTACTGAAGATCAGACTAAGTTTTTTCAGGTTTTCCAAGTAATTTTCTGATTTACAGAATGGTCTGAACAAGGCATAATATCCAATGAAGAGCAGTTCTGTTGGCAAAAAATTCTTATTGAAAGAGAGAGAGAGAGAGAGAGAGATCATGTCTGTCCTTGTAAATGACACAAGCATGTCTAGCTTATTGTAGCCTATTAGCTTTTCACTAATATTTTTACATATATATTTTTGAGCATATTTGAGGGCTGAAAGATCAACATCAACTCCTTGATTACGCATTCATTCATTTTCCTTCGGCTTAGTGCCCTTATTCATCAGGGGTCACCACAGCATAATGAACCACTAACTTATCTGGCATGTGTTTTACACAGCAGATGCCCTTCCAGCTGGAACCCAGTAATGGGAAACACTATGGCCAATTTAGTTTATTCAATTCACCTTTACCGCATGTCTTTGGACTTTGGTGGAAACTGGAGCACCTGGTGGAAACCTACGCCAACACGGGGAGAACATGCAAACTCTATTTAGAAATGCTACTCGAACCAGAAATAGACTCGAACCAGCTCCATTCCTGCTGTGAGGCGACCGTGCTAACCACTAAGCCACCGTGTCACCCCTTGATTATGCACATCGAGATTACACAGATGACTGAAGGTTCCAGCATCTGTGAGTTGTTATGTTTACTACTAATGTTTGAGTGAAGTGGACTTATTTTAAACTATGTATGTATTAACTATTTTATTGCACACCTTCCAGCCAAGTAGAATCAAGAATTTCTACAGATCACGGAATAAGCTGATATAACGACCAGTGTAATTGAAATATCTCCTCTGGTTAACAAAATTGAGCTCTGCATAAGAGTACACATCAACCTTAAAGCAGATGAGCTACAGCAACAGAAGAGCACAATGATGTCAATCCAGTCAGCAAAGCACAGGAAATTGAAGCTATAATGTGAACAGGCTCATGAAATTTGGAATAGAAGATTGGAAAGTTGTTGCCTGCTTCGATAAACTTCTACATTTCTGCAGCAAAATTCGAATAGTAGGGTGATGATATACATGATATAATAGATGTTTCCTAATACAGATACTGTAGTTGGTGGTGGTTTAATGTCACAATTTGAGTTCCTTAGTATTGCAATGTAATGTAATGTGTATTTATATAGCACATTTATTGTGTATAGCCATACACCCAAAGCGCTTCGCAATCTTGCAGGGGGTCTCTCCACACCCCCACCAGTGTGCAGGATCCACTTAGTATTAGCTGAGCATATTTTTAAGACCACAGCCTACCTGAGTATTGTTGATGACCCTCTATTTATGACCACAATGAACCTCTCTGCACCATGTTATAAACCTCATAAAACTAGTTTCTTGAACATGACAGTGAGTTCACTGAACTGTCATATTCACCAAATTTTAATACAGTAGAGCACATCTGGGATGTGCTGCAACAGGATTCATATCATGGTCACACTTTACAATAAGGTTCATTAGTTAATGTTAATTAATGCATTTACAAACATGACGAACAAAGAACAATACATTTACTGCTGTATTTGTTCATGTTAGTTAATGTTAGTTAATGAATTTGTTAATTTGTTAACTCATGGTGCATTAACTAATGTTAACAAGCATGGACTTGGATGTTAATAATGCATTAGTAAATGTTTAATTATGATTAATAAATGCTGTACATGTGTTGTTCATGATTCGTTCATGTTAGTAAATGCATTAACTAATGAACCTTATTGTAAAGTGTTACCCAAATCATATATGTGCAATCATCGGAGGCCACTGTGTAATGCTATCACATCAAAATCAACCAATATCAGAATAATGTTTCAAACACTGCTAAACTGTCACAAGTAAAATAAACCAGCTCTTTATACAAACTGAGGTTAGACCATCACTATCAAGGTGTATCTAATAAAGTGGCCAGTGAGTGTATATTGTAAATGTGGCAGAAGTGCCAATCATTACTCACACATTATTAAATGTTACTTTAGATTTAGATATTTACGTGAACCATCAGTCATCATGTCACTCTAATGCTTAGCTACATACTGAAACATCAGGGCGACAGATACATGAGCATACAAAGCCTTTACAGGTAATACTGTTCTTTCATCTCTGCCTCTCTCGCTTTTTGTCTCTCTCTACACACACACACACACACACACACACACATACACACACACAGGCCAGCAGGGCCGTCTTTAATCAGCTGACTGCTCCCCAGCTTTTAATACGGCTGTTCCAATTACTGTAAAAGTCATCCTGCACCAAATAACCACAAATATTGACAGTTTATTGCACAACACATTTATGACATTTGAAGGTCACCCCATATATTACGCATCATCTCTCGGCCCAGGGTGTCTGGAACAGAGAGATTCTCGATAACCCGCCACCTATAACTATTTTCTGCATATTGATTTTCCATTTCTCAGCCCTTTTTTATGCAAAAGAAAAATCTGTAAGAGAGACGGCATTAAAGCGATTGTCACGAGCGAGCCGCGGCCTTCATATATTATCCAGTTAAGCCTGAAAACAATAACTCTTCAGTCCAGAACCTAGACAATGCCGCAAAACATTATGAAACGCTACAGTGTTCCTTTATAGATGTTTACAGTCTGACTAATTAGACACGGGGATAATGAAGTTACATCTGTAATTTATGATTAACTTGCTTATTGTGACTACGCTAGTATCAATCATCCCCATCGCCATAAATATTTCATCGACCACTGGATTCGCGTATGTGCTTTTTTTGCTGCCGTAACCAATAATAAAGAGCATCTCCAAGCGCTTGACACAACATATCAATATCCATATCTCATCGTCCACTGAGTTTGGAGCACCAGGCCCAGTGGCTAATGGCACAAGCATGTAAAGCTGGACCAGCATTACAGAACATGCCAGAACAATAGACTGGAAGCGGACAGGAGGCCACTGGGAA